CTTGCAATTACAAACAGACAATGAATTTTCAGTTCATGCTGACTTAATAGTTTCAGTGGGTGTGATTTTCACGTGTGGCGTCAACATTCCTGCTCTGCATCTTAACAACAAACAATTTGTTCTCCTAGATGCTGTGGTTCTTGGTGTGATAAATAATGAATGTATTTACACTTCATACGATAAATAACTCATGTGCCAAGTTAGTATATTTTGAAAGGCTGTTTATTTCCTGTTGTTATCAGAGTCTATTAAAATATTTGAGCCCATCATAAATTCAGATGAATTCCCCTGAATGAGATGAGTCAGTGGTTGTATTCAGACACTCACTGTTTATTTATGCTTCAGTGTTTTATGATTATTTTTCATCACTGCTGGAACTTTTCTCTCTCTGCAGTTTGAAGCACTTCAATATATTTTGTGTGAATGCAAATCAATAGTAAACACATTTTGTCAAAATAAGGCATCATTTCCAAAAAGTAACTTTCACATACATCAATGTCACCTTGTTGTTATTGCTTTAGTGATGACTATAATAAAATAAACCTGTTATCACGAAACCTGTTTGTCACTTTGACAGCAGTCCGGCCCTCTCAAAAAACAAGGTTTCAATATAACAATCTAGGGAGGGAAAAAGATGATAAATAACCTAATCGAATAAGGAAATAAAAATACAGATTACTTCCCTAACTACCTAGCACAAAACAGAACCCAAACAAAATAAGTAAAACAAAATGGCAGGACACCCCTTTTGCTCTACGATCTTAACACACACATACACATTTGATCATCGGCCGGAGGAGGAATCCAGGAGCTCTCAACCCAATCGCGTCCGAACCAACAATGAGCTCCCCGTTGAATACCGGCGGCGTCCTTATAAAGGCCACGCCTCGTCTCAACCACCAATAGCGATCGTACACCCCATCAGCGGACATCCTACCAGAAAGCAGACAGAATGAAAGAGGGAGGAGAAAAAAACACGTACACACACAACATGGCAAATACAAGAAACGCAGGTCGTAACAGGGAGAAAAACACGCCCTAAAATCATGCCATTGGTTGAGCAAGACATTCCGAAAACTCATCAAACAAACAGAGCAATGCTTTACAAAAAAACACCTCAGAGCCACTTATTGTTGTCTGTGCACACAACAGGGATGAAGTATTTTAACACTGAAAAAATTACTCACTTTAAGAAAACACCTGCCAAGAAAATGTGAATGCATTTCTGCTGGAATATGTTGATTTATTCACTTTTAAGCCTGAAAATGTGAAAAAAATAAATAAATCGCTTTAATTCTATTCATTTCTATTCTATTTTCTTCAGGTTCATCGTGCTATATTCTATTCTGTTTTGTTCTATTTAAGTGTGCTTTATTCTGTTGTATTCTATTCTTTTTCTGTAGTGGTGTCTGGTTTAAGGGGACTGTTTACCCTGATTATAATCCAGCATTTGGTTGTGTTACTAGGAAACAGTGGTCCTGAGAGCATGTTGATATGCTCCGTTGTGTATCAGGTGACCTGCTCGGCAGTCTTCTGATGCGAGCTGTGAGGTTGTGATCGGAGGTGAAACATAGGTCAGAACATTGTACGCGGTCAGTCTGATTCCTCAGAGATCAATTAAATGCTGTCCTGTAAGAGCTCACGCTTTATGGAGATCATTAACAGTGTCCAGAACTTGATAAAAGAATCTCTTGATCCTGGGATTAAATTCATGTGTGTGTCTATGTGCATTCTGAAGCATTTGACACCTGATTGGTTCACAGATACGTTTGGCAGCGCTGATGGTGTCAGTTTTTCATGCCGTGTTTCCTCAAGCTGGTGAACGTGTCCCACTTACAGCACACTGACCCACACTCCTGGGATAGTTCACCCAAAAATGAAAATTTATACTCTCATGACATTCCAAACCCATATGACTTTTCATAAAAACTATGACCAAAAATATTTGATGACAACCTATTTTCCATGACTAAGACTTACTGTGACTGTATATCAGGATGCAATACTATGATGAAAAAAGATGAGACTAAAATGTAGTTTAAAATTTAAAAACTCTCTATATCCAAAATTATGATATAAATGAACACTCTCTCTGCATTATGAAAGCTGGTAAAACTCAAAAGCAAAAGCTAAAACAATGAAATTCTTCATATTAAATCCATTGATTCCAGATTATATTTGTTTTTCCATTAAAAACACAAAAAATAATTTGTGTTGCAGCATAGCGGTTGTATAACTGCATTTATTCAGCAACTATAAAGTGCAACCGCAAACAATATATAATTGAGATCAATGTTAGGATTTATTACAGTTTATCACAGAGAAGGTTTTGATGGCAATTTTTTTCTTGACTGGCAACCCCAATATGAAAACTTGATGAAAGTCTATATATAGATATTTAGGAATCTAAATGAGGTCAAATAAGTGTATAAGAGCTGTGTATAAGAGTTTATTTATTTGTGCGTATAGGTGAAAGTGATAATAATTCTGATAAAATTTCTCAGATGACAACAATTAGGGTCGGGTATCGTTTTTTTTTTTTTTTCGATACCGGTGCCAAATCGATACTTTTAAAACAGTTCCGGTGCCTGAACCGACACTTATTAAAAATAAAAAATTTAAATTAAAATTAAAATTCCCCCAAAAAATGATGGATTGGCCATTAGCACTATAAACACATGATGTCTGTTTCATTCATACTGGACGCCAGAGGGCACCCTCACACAGAAAATCCACATATCCAATCACAGAAGTAGAGAACTCCTGACCCTCCAGGAAATCCCTTATGTGGACAAAGGCATTGCTATTATATCTATAACTGAGTAAACAGAACATATAAACGTTTTGAATGATAAAACAAAGACAATAAACACTCGACTGCGACAATATAGTTTATCTGTGTTATTTAAGCCATCGCTGGTATTTTCATAATAATTAAGTATATTTATAATAGGGTGACCATATTTTCCAAAAAAAAAGGACAGTAGGGGGCGGGGTTTGTTAGCGGGGCTTCACCTAACAGTATATGTAGCAAGGTTTTTTTTTGTTTGTTTGCTTATTTTGTTTTTATAATAAATAAAAAGAAAACAAGTAGAAAGAATAGAAAAAGAATAGGGAATGCTAGTGTTAGAGGGTCA